ATTTTCTTCCTGCTTTAGTAAACTGAGTAGTATCCTTGATTTTGCAGCATATACAGTTTGGATCGTGCTACCTCATAACAAAGCAGATAGGAATGTTAGTTACAATTTTGCAGTTGCTGTTACTTGGGAGTACCCTGATTTGCTTTGCTGGGGTCGCTGTGATAATGGTTTTTGTTCCATGGGTACATTTGTGGTGAAATAGGAGTTCAGCATCCAAATCCAGCACACCTATAATAGGATTAAAATAATGAGCTGCCGCTCATTTAAAAGATACACGTTCATATTTCCAGTTTGAATTTACCTCCACTTGGCTGCTGAGCTTTACTGAACAAGCTGAAAATACAAAGGGAGACACTGTTTTACAATGCACAAGAAGAAGAAATGAGCACTCTTAGTGAAACGTGGGAGAAACATACTGATGTTGATTCTTGTTATGTAGTGCATATCACTATTGTTGCCATGGACTGTTCCATTTATAAATCACTAGTCGTCACTGCACGTATTAGCAGTTTGATTGTTAGGAAATGGAAAGCCAAGCTGCACAGCACTTACCAATAATGTAGGCATGCAAATTAGTTTAGGAGGGCAATTTGGAAGCACAGTTTAGAAGCACAACATGATTAAGGTGATAGTATCCTCAGTCTCATTCAATTACTTTTGTCCTCTAATTCACAAAAAAAATGTTTGTGCTCTTAAACACCTGTGACTGAAAGCATAATTGTTCATAGAATGGGCACAGGCAAAATCATGAGGTAGCATGATCCTGTGGCAATGGACTGTGAGTCAGTAACCCTTGGTTCTGCCGCCAACTTGTGTGTGAACTTGGACACGTCACTTCCCATCTCTGTCCCTCCCTTTCCCTTCTTCTATCTTGTCTCTCTAAACTGCAAGCTCATTCAGGTCGGGACAGCCTCTAACGATGTGTCTATACAGCTCCTAGGTCAGCAGGGTCCTGACCTCAGAGGGGGATTCTAGGCATTATTGTAATACAAATTAAGAACAATAACAACAACATTTTTGAAATGTAGCCCTAAGTGATAAATATTTGAGATAAGAACACAAGAACAGCCATACTGGGTCAGACCAAAGGTCCATTTAGCCCAGTATCCTGTCTTCCAACAGTGGCCAATGCCAGCTGCCCCCGAGGGAATGAACAGGACAGGTAATCATCAAGTGATCCACCCCCTGTCGCGTCTGGCAAAAAGAGGCTAGGGACACCATTCCTGATCTTGTGCATCAGATATATATCTAAAAACTATGGAATAAATGTGCCAATCAAATATAATATTTTAGGCAAAGTGGACAAAGAGTGTATTAATCTCTCAGTATACTTCTCCATTTACAATTTTCAGTGAAAACATGTTGGCTGTTTTTATTATGCCTGTGTAAATGTAGATGAAACAAAAAGGTCAGCTAACTACTTATTAGTAATATACGTGTATATAAATTGAGGCAGGAGAGTGAAAGTTAATTATTTTATACCTGCTAACATCTGTCTGTGGATTTGGATTAGAAACAGGATGACCCTATCAAGGATCAGATGGTCATCTCCTATGAGGACACATTAGAGGACAATTAAGTCTAATTTAGATCTTACAAAGAGCAAGCTTGTGAAATAGATTTGGATAAAGTAGATCTCTGGGAATTGGGAAAGTCAAAAACACTGGAGTCTTATTTCAACAACAGCATAGAGGCATATTTTAAACTGGAGCTGGACTTAGCATTTTGGAGTGTAAGTATGAAGCAACTTCCTCCTTGTCCATTTGTATCCTATACCTGTCCACCAAGATCATAAAGAGCTGGCTTTACTTTTCTATCTTGGTTTTTATACCATGCCATCAGCATAAGGATTTTGAGCAAGATGATTCTTTGGGGATACCCTCAAAACTTAACTAACACATTATACATCCATAAAAGAGTGGGTATTTTCATGTTCCCTATCCTCCAAATGCAGTAGCAGAATCCTCATGCTTGTCCTTTTCAACCTTAGCAATCATTGTACTGGATTTTCAGAGCTACCTTCCCAAGGAACAGGTGCTATGCATCTAATCTATCTATCTATCTATCTATCTATCTATCTATCTATCTATCTAAACAATTAACTTCTCTTTACATTTACTTTTGTCTTCACATAGCTAATGAAGTCATCATAAACCAGAATCTCAGCTATCTCAGGGTAGGACATACAGCATATTATACATCCCCTTCTAAGAAGAACTGTTCTGAACCTAGCCTACACTTCTTTAATACACATTAATTTACACCCACACAAATAAGTCAGTTTCTCACTCTTAGTCAGCAAAAATTGAAAAGCAGAGCACTTTGCGCTGAGGTCTCATTTTACTAAGACTTACTTCTGCTAATATACACTACAGAACATTGACTTGTACATCACACAACTAAACTTCATTTCTCAAAAAGTCTGGGAAAAAAAGGCCTGTTGAATCATTTATGGAGCTTGAGACTCAGTCAATTCCTCTTCTGTGAAGTCACCACATCTATCATCTACAGGCTACCGGAATCCTTATGCAAAATGAAAGAAGTCAGGGCCTGATATTTTAAATTGCCATCACTTTGTGTTAGCTACCATACAACGTAGCTGATCCTAGTCCTCTTAAAGTAAATGGCAAAACTTCCACTGATTTTGGTAGTGCAGAATCAGGCCTAAGCCTATCCAAACAAAGAGTGCAAACTATTCTAAAAAGGAATTCCAATCTCAGTTGCTGACATGAGAAACAGGAGTGGCTCCTAGAAGTCAATGGAGTCACACCAGTGTAAAACCAGTATCAGTGAGATCAGAATCAAAATGATAGCATGCTCTAAAATATGTATTTACTTGCCATTAAAGCAATAGATGATCAATTTATCCATGAGTTTATGCAGAAATATGCATTCAAATATATATGGACATATATCACTCTCTCTATAAGCCAACTGTTCCAGGTTTTGAACCTCTCTCTCTCTCTCTCTCACACACACACACAAAAACTTGGGGAAAAAATTGCTTCCCTACACACTTTAAAATCAGTCCTAAAAACCAATGCTCTTTTGTTTTATTACAAAAGAGATTGGATAGGAGAAGGATTCGATGATAAGCTACGATAAGTGTGCATTAAAACACAATGACACAGTGGCAAAAGATTTGGCCAAATTAATATGTATGGCATCACCTATTTGAAATAATCCTTGTTAAATTTAGAAGTGCCATATCGTTAATTCTTAGTTTCTTTCTCTCATGTTTCTGCCGTTAAAATAATTAATCTGTAATGGTTTTCAGAAAAAAACTACTTTGCACATTTCTGAATCACAAATGGCATTTTATGTTTTGCTGCTCATACCAGCATCTACATCACTAAAGTTTTATGCAATAAAAACTCTATATAAACCTCTAATATATCTTTTGCAAAATAAAAAATAAATAAATAAGGAAATAAAATAAAGCAAGTAGTGCAATAAAACAGAATTTAGCACCACTAGATGGCATTAATTCACTGTAGTATTCACACAGTGGCAGTAGATACTGAAAAGTGCACGTTCAGAGCATCAGCATAATATGTGGGATTAGTGAGACACAAAAAGAATATACTTCCTCAAGTTATTTTCCTATTACTTAGCAAAATGCTCTTTTCTAACTATTATTTTCCCCCCTGTCATTTAAGAAATAGCTCAGAGAGAGACAGTGATATGGCCAGATTCTCCAGATGAGAGTGATAACATTTTAAGCCCACTTGGCACAGGTATAAATGACTATACAAAGTACAAGGCAGTGGATAATTAAGCCCATAGTCTTTCCTTTACATAACTGCTGCCTTCGTTAACTAAGGAAGAACATACCCTCCATCCCTTCTCCAAAAGATCACTTATTTCACTCTTTTCCATTTTCACAAATACTTTGCTATGGATAATAACACTCCCCTTTTAAATGTGTATAATAATGATTTCAAGACCTTGTACAGCTGGAAATATGTTGTCTATGATGTTTGGAAAACAGTAAATAACCCTGGATAAACATAAGCAATTTCTTCAAATAAAATTGGCATTTAATATATATATATATTAAAATAGATGCATAGATTCTAACGCCAGAAGGGACCATTGTGATCATCTAGCCTGCCCTCTTGTGTAGCACAGGGCATAGAACTTCCCCAAAATAATTCCCTGAGCAGAGCTTTTAGAAAAACATTCAATCTAGATTTAAAAAATCGAATCTAAATTTAATAATAAAATGAAGATTGGGGGACTCTTCTTGATCAACTTGGCAGCAGGGTGTTATTCTGCCAGCCAAGAGACTTTGGTTCAAGACTCCCCAAGCACTGATGTGTTAAAGCTCTGGGCTGATGTTTGAGCAGCACAAGCATTGCCTGCTGTCTCTGACCTGCCAGCAGGGCCGGCTCCAGGCACCAGCCGGGCAAGCTCGTGCTTGGGGCGGCAGATTCTACGGGGCGGCATTTGGCACAATCCTAGGGCGGCATGGCCGCTTTATTTATTTTTTGTTCCGCTCCGGCCGCCCTGTAGGGGGTGGCGGTGCGGAGGAGGTGACCGCCCTGCAGCAAGCCCGTCAGGGCAGCCCGCGTCCTTCCCTCCCAGCCGACCGCGGCGCGGAGCCCTCCCGGCAGGCGGCTTGGTGGTTGGGGCCGCTGACAGCACCCCACTGAAGCCCTGGCCACCCCCTTCTCTCTCTCCCCCCACTCTCTCCCCCGCTAGCCAGGGCACCAGCGCAGGGAGTCCCCCTGTACCCTGGCTCCGGCCGCGCCGCAAGTTTTTTTTTTTTTTGCTTGGGGCGGCAAAAAAGCCAGAGCCAGCCCTGCCTGCCAGCTGCTGTGATGGAAGCTTAATATCAAAATGAAGATGGGGAGAAAGTGGAGATAAAATATTGGCCCCTGAATAAACCTTGGGGAAACCTTGTCTTGACTGGCAAAAATAAATGAAGGGTAAAGCTTAGAGGCTGCTCTTGTGGAACTATAGTAATGGGTTTACAGTGACATTAAAAGTTGTATTACCTGTTCTAAAAGATTCTGAAGCCTCTCTATTTCACAGTCTATTACAAATTTCTTTTCTTGTCTTCGATCCAGGTCTTCTAAAAGCCTCCTGTAGCTGGCATCATTAAAATTCTCCACACATATGGCACTGACTTGCCAGCTATTTTGTCCCGCTTTTTCCATAATAGCTTGAAGTATTGAGTAACCTAAAAGAAAAGGATACAATACACTAACAACACAATCTTTGCATTTTATGAATCATAACTGTTATTAATCAATATCAAATCCCTTAATGTATGGTCTAATAGAGAGGGGATTGGGAGGAGTCATAGCTCCTAGGTCTAACACTGCTACTGGCTACCTATGACTTCGGGCACAGCACTTAAACTATCTATAAGCTTATTAATAATTATTATTACAAGCATTTATATGATGGCCATCACTTTGAGCAATGAACTGATAAATGGGGATGACACCGATTTAGCTCACAGGGAGATTGTAAAGCTTACCCAGTGAATGTTTGTGAAGCGCTCTGAGGCCATTGAATGAAAAGCACAAACCCCACATGGAAGAGCAAGGGGTTAAAGACCAGCTCAGGACTCAGGCAGCTGCACACAGACACACCTGCAAAGCCTGCACAGGCTGGAGGCAGGGCTTTGAAAAGGGGAGCAGAGCAGTTCAGTGACAGGCAGTGGAAGGGAGCAGATGGCTTCTCTGAGGGGGAAGTACTGCCCAGGATTCATTGCCCAGGACCTGACAACACAGACCTGTGAAAACCCACAAAGGAGTGTGCAGATCAGGGAACTGATTGGAGTAATCTACTTTGGGAAGCCGAAGGAAACTGGGGTAGGATGTGGTCTGGGAGAGGCAGTGGCTTAGAACCCCAAGGTGTTGGGTATAGCTGCCCACCGTTGGGCCCCGGACCAGAGCCAGTGGAGAGGGCAGGCCCGGGTTCTCTTATCCACTCCAAAAGGTCAATACTAGAGCAAGAGCCTTTCCCTAGTGTGAAGGGCCAGCTGGAAAAGATTGTAACTGTTCAAGGGCCCTGCCCCCAAACCCTTCTGCTAAAGGGGAGGACTGGAAACCCTTGGGGTGGGGGCACTGGAGGAGAGTACTGTGCATCAACAGCAGGCAGCCTGCCAACCCCCACCTGATCCCTAAGCAGCACTGTTGGTCATGCACCTTCTACAGCAGTATAGAGGCATTATAATTATAATGTCTCATCTGCAAAGCCCATTAGCAGATGGGGAAAGCCAGTATCTTTTTTTAGAACCATTTGCTTTTCCTTCATTCACCCAGGGCAACTGAAGATTCTTAAAACACTGGGAGCTTCCATCTAAAAGAGCAGAGATCCAACAACTCAAATCCAGAGTGAGTATTAAATCAGCATGGGGCTGCTAGTTGACATTGTGCTGCTGGAGATGCCATCGTTCAGACCAGATATCCTGTCCAGAACCATGGCTATATTCTGACTTGGGTGGCTATATTTTACCTACATGAAATCCTCACTCTAGTTTCAGTTGGGAAAAATATTCATTTAACCTCCTGAAAGCTAAAATGTAATGCTACTGATGCAGAATGGGTCGCTGTTCTATGAAGAGATGGCTGCATTTCATTGGTATGCAACTGATCCCTATAAATACTGTAGTTTACAATATGTTTTGGGATCCTTTTACAGGAAAGATACTATATAAAGGCACTGATTGGTCTACCCATCCAAAGAACAGGACTATTCAAAAAATAATTAAATATTAGCAGACCCAAAAATATACTATACACTTGTTTGCCTCTACATTACCTATAAGAACATCATTAATTCCTCATGATGTGGATGTCACAGGTCAAATTAGAGAGCTACTGTAAATCTAGGAGAAATTGTCTTTGGCATGACACGCACTATTACCTCTTGCACTCAACTCCTAATAGTCTAGGTGAATTCATATCAGATTGTTCCTATTCCAATGAAATCAAGCACTCATACTCAAAAATACACAGATTATATAGTATCATTTATAATTATTAAGTATTTCCCCCTCAAATACAGATGACATAATTGAGATTAAAGTACATAGCTTTATGATGATGGAGATTACCTTAGTACACTTTATCACTGAGAACAAAACATTTATTTCAAAAAGATAAGTGAAGTCTGGGTTGATAAAAATACAAGTAAAATATATTTGCATTCTGCACAAAGGATTAAAGAATAATTTTCATTCCACAGGACCATTTCTAAAGAAATAGGTACACTAAGAAATATGTATGAATTAGACTACATGTCTGTAATTAAGATAATTTGCTAAAGTAAATTACTTGATAGAATCACCAGTAAAACATTTCTGTAGCCAGGGTTCATTTTTAACCTGAAATCAGTTATTTTTCCACCAAAGAAGAATGAAGAATTCTAGTTAATTACTTCACAATTATTCTGCTCTTCCTGTTGCTACATTTACTCTTGCTTTTTTTGCCTGTAATTATCTTTTCAAATCATGCCTAGATTCTTTCCTAACCATTGTATTTTTTGCCTCATTTTCTATACATTTCCATATATATCTTTTTATTTAGAGCTGCATCATGATGTTCCTACCTCATTTATGGTGTAACTTTGACTTTATCTTTGATATCAACACAGTCAACATTTATTTCATTCAGTTTCTCGACACAGACTAACATTTGCTTTGATTCAGAATGAATGCTGTTTGAAATGGCAATTGATATCCTCTCACTCTTTTCTTATTAAGTTTGGACAACTTTATGAAGATGTGCTTTGATCAAGGCAGAAAATTCTCCCAGCACAGCGAATGACAACTACTAGCCAAACACTCAAGTTTTAATTCTACTGTGGATCAAGGTTTAGCTTGCCATGTTTCATTAGCAACTGCCTTCATTTAGACATTGCAGAGTTGTATAGTTTCTTGTCACTAGTTGGCAACCATGCTATATTTTCATGCCAATATGCCTTTCACATATAACACAACAAAGCTGAGCTGCGATCAGCTGGATGGAATACAAGTTCTCCATCTCAGAGAAGCTACTATTATATATTCAGGTCAAAATCCTTTTGTATGGTATCCATGACATAGCTGTGTATTTTATGTGTAGGGGAAAATAATATAATTTTGCAGGCTGACAAGTTTGGAGTTTAAATGGAATGAACTGCAGGCATTTGCAGCCTCAGCTGGCATCAAACTTGGACATATTGAAGAGTATGCCTATTTGTCCAAAAAATAATTGGATGTACTGTTCAGAAAAAATGAACTCTACCCAGAGCGGCATAAATTCCAAATGATTAAAATGACCACAGGGCAATCTCTACAAATTTAGGACTTGAACCTGGCATCTTTATTCAGGCAAAAATCACAAACTTCAGTGGATGTTTTGCCTGAGTAAGGACAGCTGGGTTGGATCTTATAGCTCTATGCTAAAAGGCATCTCTTTTCTGCTTCTCTATTTTTAGCTGTAACTTCTTTGTTTGTCTTAAATTATGCTACATAAATGTACAGTTCATTTTGTTGAGATACTGTGATATGGATACAGTCGATTCTACGTATTGTAGAATATTATTTGTTACACAAAACAAAGACTTGTTTTTTTTAAACATAACAATTAAGACTGTTAAGTGACAATTTTAGCTACCCAATCCATGTGCTTCTAGGCGATGTTTCATTTTACAAAATGCTTATGAAAGAAGCAAATAAAGAAATGCAGGGGAACTTTCCCAGCACAGTACATACTAAGTACCAGCTAACATACTATCAGTCTAACTGCAGAATGATGCCTTTCTGGAAGATCTACTTTAGTCAAACTGAAATTATTGGGGTCAATGCAGGGGTAACTGGGTTGATCATCTAATTGTCCCTTCTGGCTTTAAAAATCAATGAATCTATGAATAGTAACTAGTAAATTTAGTTGCAATACTATTGACTAAAACCACTATTTTGGCCTTCCTAAATGTAAAGAAAGCTTCCTTTCCCTTCTTCCGTGAGCTCATTCGGCTCTGACAATGCTTCCTAAAAAATCTGCCAGCTGCTTTCTGTAGGTCATTCCTGACATGTAGATACAATTCACAATTGTTCAATGAATAGTAAAAGCACTGCTACTTTGATGTTTTAAAACAAAAATGTATGCAGGGAATGGTTACAAAAAGAACACTAACATTTCAACACAACCTTACTTTTTCATTTTACAGATAGGTGAAATTGTGGTATTTTAACAAACTAATGTTGCTTTTCAAAAAGATATCCTAGTCACCAATGTTATCTGAAATAATTATGAAAACGGAGAGTCACTATATTATACTCTATTCCACCAGAAAATTAAAGCTGAACATGCATATCATTATAATGTTCGCAGATATATCTGACCATTGTTAATGAGACTCCAACAAGGCACCTTGAAAATAAAAGAGTATTTTTTAATTGGGTTATCCCCCTCCCATCCCTCTGGATTATGTGCGGGGTTTTAATTGAAAATAATCCTATGCAGCAGCAACAAGTAAAAAGATTTGATACGTGACAAGTCTTGCAGGTTTTTTACAGAGAGAACAATATAATTTTCCATAATAGAACATTCTGATCTACCTTCTCAGGACAAGAATTGTATGGAAATGTTGCAGAGGGAGGAGATTATTATTATTTTAACATTTAAAGCTGTGGTGCAGTCAGAATAATTCAAGTAAATCATGGCCGCATGGCCAACCCCAACTCTTCAAAAATTATAAGATTTTAAAAAATAATAACTGTCAGGCTCTTTTCTTTTATCTTCTGTTGCTCTCTTGAGGCTTCACATTTTCAAAATGTTCTTTCCAACAGTGAAGGCTAGAAACTTCCTTTGTCTTTGTTAGATGAAAGCTGAGAGTCTCACAAAGTCACATGAATCCAGGAGATGGGGCTTTAAAGTAAGGCACTGAATATTGTGAGAGCTAGCAACACTGCCACTGTCTTTAACTCTACTCTTCCCTCCCCTCAGGAAAAGGAGTGTGAAACAGGAATGTTGGTACAACAATCCTGACACAAGATTCACCTGTGGACCCTATATAGCAGCAATAAAAGTAACCATGGATGGAAGGGGATACACCTTCTTCACTCTTGGGAGGGCTAGATTCTTTTCCCCACCAATTGGGAGAGGATATTGTATGTTTCTACTCTTCCCTAAGTTACTGCATGATGGTGTCCAGGATGCATACTTTCATGAGCCTTTTTGGCCC